TCTATCTATCTATCTATCTATCTATCTATCTATCTATCTATCTATCTATCTATCTAGCTGCACCTTTGTTCATTATGATAAACTGGTGCACATATGATGATGTCTGCACTTGGACAAACACACATCAAAAGAAAAGCAGACCATCTATTTCCCAATACAAGCTGTTTTTCTTGTTTTTCTTGTGATGCTGCTGTGATTTCTGTCACGTTCAGAGCAGAGGACTGGTGTAAAGTTGAATCTATTTGGACAAAATCACAAGAGCAAACATCTCACACTACTTGCAGGCCTGCAGCATTAACAGATTGTGGGTCAGAGCAATCTTTTCCAAGTAGAGGAAACACCCCTTAAAACCCTAAAGCCTAAAGGAAGTAGCTGAAAAGGCGTTTCAGGTGCAGAGGAATGTGTGTCAGTGCCCCATGCGGAGCGTCTCTGTTACATGATCACTGGATCGCTCCACTTGGCTGGATGATGGTGTGAGTCCAGGTCAGAGCTTTGACAACTTTTTTAAACACTAGAGGTCAGACTTCAGCCCTCACGATTTGCTTAGACTCAGGATTTATTTAGATTTTTCTGAAACTATTGAAGTTAATGGTCTTGTTCACGAGGACCATAAAGGATGGGCAGCTTAAATACCGGACACTGATTGGCTGATAAAGCTTAGCTACGTTCAGACTGTGTACTATTACAGGATGTTATATTAGATGTATATAACTGTAATTTATTCATTTCAGTTTAATCACAGCTTGCAAACAAGACTTTTTTTTTGTCCTGTGCCTTTACGTATTATATTTAATTTTATTATGCAGTGAATACATCAGAGAAAATGTGTTGCTTTTCTTACTTTTCTTTGTCGTCTGTCTTTGTTCAATCTTTTTTGTTCTGTTCTCTATCGTTCTATAAATAAACGTTTGCTATATGAACACTTGAATGGACGAGAAAAAGAACATTTTCATTCACACCGTGCTCCAACCTTGAACTCTGAGACCTACGGATTCCCTCTTCCTTTATGACTCACCGACACCAGCGTGTCTCTGTTTGGTTTATAAATATACATTTACGTCTACCAGCATGTCACCCCTCCACGCGGGGGCTGGAGAGTAAAAAAAACATGCTAACCAGTCTAAATGGCACACCATATTTATGCCCTAAACAGACTGGCAGCTGAGTAAAAGGGTGTTGGGGAAGAGAAATGAAGGACGGATAAGTTAGCGTCTGTGTGTGAACCATATGTTCTATGACGTCCTTCTATAGGGAACCTTAAGTATAGAGTTACCTCACTTCAGTCTGTGCTTTCCAGACTTCCTTGTTAAGGTTTCTGAGCATTATGGTTTTCTTTACGAACCGCTGAGTCACAAAAGTCAAGATCGACATCCAGATGTGGAATGTAAGCTACCTCCACATATGAGACGGTGTGTTTCACATGTCATAGATCTTTGGCGTCAGGCCCACACATACTGTAAGTAGGAGTCCTTTTGTCTTTCATATTCCTCAGGTGACTCATCCGTGTGTGCATTCCTGAGATAAGCTGGGAGCAGCTAAAATAGGCAACGACTTTTCCGGACGCTATCAATCTTTCACCTAATAACAGTAGGTCTCAGGTGAGGTGGTCTGCTGTCAGACGCCCACCACGTAGGGCACAATGGCGTTTTGTTCTTGACGGACAAGTTTCATCAAGTGCCCAAAAACATGAGCCTGTGGAGCCTGGTGATTTATTTTATTTATTTTACCTTTATTTAACCAGGTGGGTTAATTGAGAACAAATTCTCATTTACAGTAACGATCTGGCCGAGAGGCAGCACAGAACAGAGAATACGATAAAAGGAATACGTCCATAAAAAAACAATACAAACAAAACATAACAATAAAAGGCTTGAAGATAAAATACACTAAAAGCAGGTACAGGACTCAGTAAATAGTGCCTTCAGCATATTTTTAAAAGATGATAAAGGTATAAAGACACTGAGTTTGAGTGTTTTTTTGTAACTGGTTCCAGTCGAGAGCTGCAGAGAACTGAAATGAATCGCGGCCAAAGACAGTGCAGGCTTTGGGGATGAGGAGGTGGATGAGGTTGTTGCTGCGAAGTGAGCGGCTGATGTGATGGGTGATGAGTAGTGAACGTATATATGCCGGAGTTTGACCTGTAACAGTTTTACAAATGAACAAATACCAATGAGTTTGCCGGCGGGAGAGAAGAGAGGGCCGGTTAACCAGGCTGTACAGAGTGCAGTGGTGAGTCGTGAAGGAGGCACCAGTGATAAAACGGATGGCAGTTAGAGGTTAACGGATCGTCTCCATTCATAACGTCTGTCTCACTAAACTGGAAACGAAACTTCTTCACTTACAGTGAAGAATAAAAATACCAAATGAGGAAATCTCTGCAGGTTTTTTTAAAAACAGCAAACATGTTAGGGAGCACGTACTTATAGTTTTATTGGCTCCTGATGCACGTGTTCTCTATAATCTGGAGTCAATTCTTTAGAAAATGAATTGATTGCATTTCTGATTAAATCCAGCATCTTCTCATGATGACCACCTGATGAGTCTTCTGCTTTGTAAAAAGGAAACCGTGACTCTGTAACTTTCCTCGACCCAGGATCATGCCTAGATGTGGCTTTTCTTTGTGATGTGGTTTAATCATTGTTACGGACAGCAGTTGAGTGACTTCCAATATGATGACGGCTGTGGGCTGTTACGATGTCGTGAGAGGCCGTCTGAAAGTCCGGCATTGCTTTTTTTTAGGCCCACCGCCAAAAGAGTTCAGCTCTGACTCAGGAGGTTTCATTTCCAGTTTAGTGAGACAGATGTAATGAAGGGAGACCATCCATTGGCTCTCACTGCATCACCAGATTCCCCAGTTATGTTTTTTTCTGAGTGAATGTTGAGAAAACAAACGTGGTGATGAAAGTTTCTGTCAAGTAATTTCTACCAGTCACTGTGTTCTCCAGAGCCTTGTGTTTTTCCGTCCTTCCGACAACAAGTTAAAAGCCAGTACGTGCTTTGCTGTGAAGGGGAAGCTTCTGTTGCAAACGTGGAGAGGCCCACCGCGACCTAATTCTTCAACGCTAACAACCACGCCAACGTTGTGCAGCCAGGTGCACACAGGTGTGAAAATGGGCAGTGATCCAAGTTACCTGCCTCCACAAATACTTTTCTTTACTTCCTTGCATTGCACTATCTTGGTGAACTCATTTCTCTTTTACAGTTTGTAAGCATTTTTCCTTACTGTGGGCTAAAATGAACGGGTCCTCCTACCTTACCAACCATATCAGACATTTAAAAGAGCAAGAAATGTTCATCTTAGATCTGTGTTAAGCCTTGATTATACTTCCTTGGGTATGTACACACCAACACCTGCAAAGCACCGCAAATGTGCAGTTTCCAGCCATTTTCTTCCACAGGTGGTTCTTCCAGACTTCCCTCTGCCCAGCAGCGCTGTCCAATTCCTTTGGGATCCCAAGGTGTTCCCAGGTCAGACGAGATACACAAT